ACAAAATCCTTTTTACCAGGGAGCTGCCTTGTAAATTCATCATCGTTATACATTGCATCTACAGCATCAATCACATCATTGTCGAGAGTCTTCCCAGCAGCTAAATCAGGCATTTCAAGAATCCCCTTCTCTTCTTTAAGTCTTTGGGCCTTTTGAATTGTCTTCTTGGACACCTTGAATTCTCTTGCAGCTTTTCTGATTGACCAAGACTGTGGAATCAAGGTCAAAATCTGTATACGTCTCCTCCTGTTACACACTTTCAGCTTTTTTTTATTAATTCAATCATGTGTTGCAAATCTTCAGAATCTCTTTTTAACTCTTTAGAAATTTCTGATTGGTCCTTCTCTTCAATCAAGTCTGAAGTGTCAATATCCAGCACAGAGGCTACCTTTTTTGAAAATGCATGTGTTGCCTGTTTCAATTTCCTCTTCCCCTGCATTATTTTCGAATGAGGGGGGATAGAATGGAGCTTCAAAGGAGACACATCGATCTCACTAAGGGCTGAGTCAATTGATTCCTTGTTTGAGGTAAAAGATAGTTCATTATCTAGAGTTTCGACAAGATTCACTTCCTCATCAGACTGCACCAACTCCTTTCCGAAAGAATCGATCTCGGTTTTCACCTTTATTCTACAAGAAGGACATATTTTTTGGCCAGGAACAACATCAATACCGAGTGTCACCACGTCTTTCGCCAGCAAGATTGTAACTTTGGACAGTCCACCCTTCACCTCTTTCTTGTGAACATTAAATGGATTGAAACATCTTGTGTATGACATCGGTAATCTTCTAGTCAGCACATGTTCGTGATGAAAACAGATATCAGCATCAATGTTCAGTAAAGAAACGCCAGATGTCCAAAAAACAACTTCTCGAACTTTCGAATCAAGCGATTCTATCATTTTAAAGCCAGTTCTTCTACAATATGTGGATTTATGACAAGGATCTTTCATGGTTGCGCCAACTGTGCATTGTCTGTTTTCGTCCATTTTTATATAAAACTTCGAAGCACATTTACTTCGTAAATTGGCATTGCGAAAATGAAGTGCTATTTCAACAGTTTTATTCAAGTGGTGACTAATGGTTGTCGATGAATAGCCCTGACATGCATTACGCAATATTGATTTACGTCGTAATTATACTTTAACACATTTCAATAATCCTGTTATTCTAGCGTGACTTACGTCATAAAATCATTAGAATACTCTAAAAAAGAATGATTGTTTGCACTTACAACAAAATCATCCACAACCACACAACAGATTGTTGTGAATATTTGTTCACACTTCTGTTTAAAAAACAAAGGTGACAGTGCATTAGTGTACTCAGTGCTGATTGGAAAATTACACTCATCTTTCTGTAAGAAACTCCATATAGCTTGAGTTTCCGACATTTAAGACGTCATCAAAAACCTGCGTGACGTCATCAAAAACCTTTTTTTAGAATTTTTGAATTTTAACCACATAGCGTAAAAGATCACCATGAAATACTTCAAATACGCAAAATTGGCCAAATATGTCTTAAATCGGTTGAGATTTGGCTAATGAAAGATTTGAAGTTTGCTAACGAATCACTGTTATTTTGGCTCTGTTCATGAAGTTATGAGCAGAGACCAAAAGACACAGGTTTGATGGGGAGAGAACCAATGAACATGTGGCCATATCTCTGACCTTTGGTAATACACTTGCCTGATTTTGCAAATTTAGAGGTATTTCATGATGCTCTTTCAGGTTATGGGATCCAAATTAGAAAATTCTAAAAAAAAAAATTTATGACGTCATCACTTTAGAACTCTGTTGTGTTTCAAAGTAAATATCTTCCAGATTGTCTTTTGTTTTTAGATAATTTCCCCAAAGGTACTATCTGATCTAACCCCACCCACTGTTTGCATACCATAAAACCTTGTCGTTTTTTGCATACGGTAAGTCTTTAATTGGCCCCGGATGAATTTTACAAAATAAGTTTGGGCTTATTCAAGAGAAGGCTTATTATTCAAAGGGGGCTTCTACAAGAGGGCTTATTCTAAGGAGGTTTATTCAGTTGGTCATACTTAATTTTGTGGTAGATATAAACAAAAGTATAAATACTGACATTACTTGCAAAATTCTGTCTTATCTAAGAAACTAATTGGTTATTGCCAACTTGCGGGGTTGGGGCCTCATTAACAGGTAGAGGCTTGACTGAGGAATTCAGTATATTAAAGATACTAATTGCTGGGTTCCATATGTGAATATTCTAATGACAGTGAGTGCACCATTTCCACTGACAAACTCAGGAAAGAATTATTCCTTAGAAACTGCTGACACTGTAAAAATTGAAGAATATTTCAACTGAATCCATTGTTAGACTTTAATTAATAAAGCATTTATTAAGTACTTTTAGTTATTAAAATTTATTAGTGGCAAGTTATTTTGCAATATTGAAACCATTCCCACTTACTTCCAGCAATAAGTTTGTATTTGGACTTTTAAGAAAATGTTCGGTTCTGAATAATCTCCTTATCAGACCATACAAATTTTGAAACTTTTTCATTAAAATTTGACATTTTGAAACAAAGATATCTCAAAAAAAGAAAAAATACTATCTCTGATTTTTTGCTCTTGTCAAGCTAAGACACTATATATTCAATATACAAAAGTTGGGATTTGTCACATTTTGGCAACATTGTCAAAAAGTGACATGAATGGGGGTAGCGTAGTTGCTAAGGACAAAAGCAACCCTTGGATACAGACATTTCATTGCTTTTCTGTAGATGTTAGCAGGTTTCTGATGTCATTTTCAAACTCCTAAGTATTGATTTACCCAGAAGAGACATTTTCAGTGCAAAATTCCAAAAGAAACATTAAATTTTGCCAAAAAGACTTGCGGCAAAAATTCAAAATGGCGGATTTGAGAAGTTCGAGCGAATTTGGTGCAAATTTCAAGTGGCTCTCATTCTGGAACAAATGAAGGTATTGAGCTGAAATTTGCAGGAAGCTCCTATCTCATTAGTGTGAACAACACTACAAAAAATTGGACAATTCTGAGAGGGTGGGTTACATTTCCAATATTTTTGTCCCCCTTTGATATGGAATGACCCTCTAGAGAGGGAATGAATTTACCAGCCTTCCGTAGCCTGCTCCGAAGGATGGTTACTTGCAGGGGCAGACATTTGGTCAAATATTTGGGGACAAGCCTGTTGTTTTAATAAGATGATGACACATTTTCTGAACAAAAGACCATTGTCTTCCAGAGTCTTGGGAGGGGGACGACAAGCACAGATTTTTCACTACTGTCAGAGCATTTTGTAATTATCAACTTAAAAGAATTAAGGGCTAGCAAATTATAGTAGATAAACATAACGGATGCTGGTTCTCTAAAAATAAGCTGCTCGTTTGTTGATCATTCAATAACGCTTTGGATCAGGTCAGAACACAAACTTAAGCCCTGGGAAAACAACTGAATATTTCACTAAATTTTCTCTTAAACATTTATTCATTAAAATGTTTATTCGTTTTGCCAGCTTGTTTTATTTTGTTTAGTTATGTTAAGTGCTGTTAAGCAAAGAGTGTTCCTTGTAAAAAATTTTAAGCACTGCTTTTAGAAAATGTTTAGCAGTCCTTTTGACACCAATAAAACATTTGTAACAGCTACCAACAAAATATCTGGAGTTCTCCATCATGATTTGTGTTCTCCATCATAATTTTATACTTATAACAAAATTTCCTGTCATTTTTAAAAAAAAATCATACAAGCTGCAGGGAAATTGTGTGAATAATTGATCAACAAACACATTAGATATTTCAAGCAACCATATCAATTTCTGTAACACAATAAATTGGCGTATCAACACCAAAGTCTTAATGAAAATGGAAAAACAGTATCAACTGGCAATTTTATAAATGCAATAGACACCTGGCATTTGAACTTCATCAGCCCTTATCATATTTAAAATCGTCTTGAAAGTTAACATTTTTGAAAAGGAATGCTTGGTAACATTTTTTGATGATCAGCACAAACAAAAGTACATATAAAATTTCCTTCTTATAACAACAGTGAAAGGAAGGCCAACATCAGCTCTATGTGGCCATTTTAGTAAAACCTGCTTAAAACAACAACATATTTCAAAACAACATAGAAATTCCATCTAACAACAACAACAAGATAATAAATAAAAACAGTATACAAAAACTAATTTGAAAGGTATTTATAAGCTAGGAATCTTTATCCTTATAAATCCTTAGTAGTAATTTATCCTTAGTAGCCATCTTGATAGATAAACTAATCAAGGAGAGAGAGCATCCTTTTTGCTAAAAAAACTAAATCTGTACAGTAGTAATATAAAATCTGTTGAAGTGCTGGTAATCGCAGACCTTGAAAAGCATGCAACGGGGTGCAATACATAAAAAGGAATTCTTATGATTTTTATGAAGACCTGATAGCCTTTTAAATGTCATATATGTGTTTGAAGGTATGTGTCACTGTTTGAAAAAGCCAATTATGTTTTTATAAAACCAAACAGTTTTTACAGAATTTTAGAAATTTTAGAAAGTCAAAACATAGAACTACATCAGGATAGAAAGCACATCTTGTTAGTTTTAGGGTGCATGGAGGAATGCATGTGTGATCACACGCCTAATGTTACCAGGACTGTAATAACTCTAGTTCAATTATAAGATGTAGCGATTATAACATCTAAGGTAGTTTGCAACTGGCTAGCTTTGGTTTATTAGAAAAGACTATTTTTACAATCTTTACTTTAATGAACACTAAACCTTTTCTCCAAAAACCCTTTCTTCCGACAAACTTTTTGGGGGCCCCTTCAGGGTCCGAATTATTGGGGGCCCGAATTGTTGGGGGCTCGAATGTTTGGGGGCCCTTACTTTTGTACACACCGTGCGTTACGCCACTGGGGTTGTAGCTAGCTGCGGGTCAGATTTACCCTGGATAGGCCTACGTACACTCAGTCGGCCAGAGACGCTCTATAATCCCAGATTTACTTAGCAATAAAGATTTACTTACCGGTAAAACAAATGCTATCAAAACAATAAATAACCTCATTCTTAGGTCACAAATTTTTCATTTTGAAACCAACGGAACGAGTGCACTACTGGGCGACTGCCTGCATCCTTGTCGTCTTGTCTTCTTTATCCTCTCTTATAGGAATATTCTAGAATAGAGTTCTAAAGTGATGACGTCACAAAAATCTATTTTCAAAATTTTTTAATTTGGATCCCATAACCTGAAAGATCATCATGAAATACCTATAAATGTGCACAATCCGTCTAATGTGTTACGAATTGGCTGAGATATGGCCACATGTTTACTGACTCTCTCTCCATCAAACCTCTGTATTTTGGTCTCTGTTCATAACTTCATGAACAGAGCTAAAATAACAGTGATTCGTTAGCAAACTTCAAATCTTTCATTTGCCATATATCAACCGATTTTAGACATATTTGGCCAATTTTGCGTATTTGAAAGTATTTCATGGTTAGTTTTTATGCTATGTGGTTAGAATTCAAAAATTCTAAAAATAGGTTTTTGGTGACGTCACACTTTAGAACTCTATTATGGCACCCCCCAGTTTTACTTCTTTAGAGCATGCGCACTAGATAATATCCGAAGGAACTCCTCTCACAGGACGCAGGTATATATTTGAACAAAATGGCGGGAAAGATACGCTTGGATTTGTTTACAGCGACTTTGTAATGCAAACTATGATAATAATAGCGGAAGTATAGAGGCGCTGAAACTTTTTTGCCATTTGAATGATGATGTTTATTAATACAGAGACGATAAAATATTGACATGGCTTGCAGCATCATCGTAGGGAAACAAGGCCAAACTTGTTTTTTTTATCGGATTGAAGTAAACAAAGAACTTTTTGACTGTTAATGTATGTATACGGGATATGTTTTATACTTTACTGGACACCCTTCTAGCAAGATGCCCTTACTATAGCGTTACTGGTTTAACGATTTCAAGTGCAGATATAGTCAAAAGTTTACAAATAATTTGATCTCTACTATGAAAGCGTTGGGAGTCGTTATAATGGTGACATGAGACAGCTTGTTAACCATAAAAAATGTTTGATTCATGTTTGAAAAATCTTGTTGAAATGCTTTGATGCAAAAAGTAAAGGAGAACTAGCCACACTAGGGATATAGCAAAGTTCATTTAACCCATAGTCATTAGATGTTAAATCAAGAAGTTTCTTGACATCACGAGCATCTGAGGAGCATAGTTTTTCCATCCTTAGAAAAACAGTTGTACTCTCATCTAAAACATCAACACTGTTTAAAATCCTTTCTGAAGGTTTCTTGTCACCAAAGTGAGGGAGCTGCTGAAAGTTTTCATTATTTTCTGCAGCAGATTGGGTTAGGACCCTCACCAATTCATCACAAAAAAGATAACTGTGCAGCAGTACAACTTTTTGCAGGCATTTGTTGAGAAAAAATGCTTCCTTGGCCTTATCATCATCAGTTAAGTGGAAACAAGATTTGTCAATAAAATGACTGGTTTTTCTTTGTGTAGATCTAATACTGTATAATGACCCTTCATAAATTCAAGCTGTGATGTTAGAAAGTGAGTCAGTCTTTCGGCATTGTGTATAAAGGTGGACTTCAACATGGTTTCCAAATCGTCACACTCAATCCAATGCATATTTGACTCAGTACTTTGTAAAGCTGCCCTTATTCCAACTTTGTTCCACAGTTGCCTAGCTAACTTACTGTCTTTAATGTCTTTAGCATAGGAAAATGAAAGACCTGTCCTATTTAAAACAGTCATAAGGTTCTTGCTACATGTTAGTGAAACTTCATTTGAACCAACTTTTTGGGTTTGATTTATTGCCCTTGGGTCAATAAGTTTTTCTCTGATCCCAATGATGGCAAGCAATTTGAAAAGATTTTGCTTATCTTTCCATCTATCTAATTGAAGGTTACCATTGCTAGCAATAACAAGATCAAAAAGTAGAAGAATAAACGGTGTGCTGAGCACCTCGGCTCCCACCCTAAAGTCAGACACAGAAAATGTCTGGCCCTGGAAAGCTTTTCTTGAGTTAAGGCACTGAGTGAAGATGGTATTAATATTCTTTGCAGCAAAATAAATAAGAACTTCTAGAGCATTTGGTTTTCTATTTTTACCAAATAGTTCAAGAAGCTGACAGAGGTCACTGTTTTCACTGCCATTGACAGAAAACTCATGGCTTAACTGCATTATAATTCTTTGAGGATCAAGATCGCAATTGTAAGCTCCCTTTTCATTAGAACAGTACATGTTGATTGCTTTGAAAGACTCTTTAAAGGATTTCCCATTCAATTTCCTATCAACCCAGTAATGGTGCTTTAATAACCTTTCCCAAACATTTTCAGACTTTAAATAATTCAAAACACTAGTTTTAAATCCTTTGCTAGTTCGGGCAAGCCTTTGTAGATCATGATAACCAAGGAAATCAAAAATTTTGAAAACCAAGCCTTCTTTACTCTCATTACAAATTGAAAAAACAGAGATATCTTCTTGACATGACTGTTCATTGTCAAATTCTGGTATACCAGTGCATCCAAGGTCCTCATCAAAATTGTACCCTAGAGAGTCCTTCAAATAGTAGTTATAATTATACCACTTTTCCCAATGATCATGACATATAAATCTATCAAATGGATCACCTACATTTTCAAGATGGTAATAAGTAATAAGAAGTAGGGTGCTTTGAATGTCTATTATGCCTGACCTTGACCCTCTAGATTTCTGCCTTGCCAAAGTCTTATGTTTTCTGTTACTAAAACAGCCTTCAACAATACATTTGCTGTTTAACTCTTCTTTGCTTGCCTCATCAGTTTTGGATGCTAACTTATGAAACTGAGAGGAATTAACTGGAGAAAATCTAGAAATGCCATGTTTTGCTGACAATGGTGTTGATATCTTTTGCCTTTTAATAACAAAACTTTGCAGGGGACTAGTAGGGGGAGAAAATAATTCCAAGACAGGATCACTACCTTCATTGGGTAGAGAGGAAGCTTCGAGTCTACTATCATTAGGTGAATCAATAGGAGCATTCATGAGAATTTTATTGGCACATAATTCTGTTTCGTGCTTGGAGCAGATATGCTTCTCCATCCTCGTTGAATTCAAGCCTCGAAAGAAAACTGCACAATAGTTGCAATGATAGTGACTCTCCGTTGTTTTAAGCATGCACCCAGTTCGGTTACAATGCCTTCCAATTCTTGTTTTCTTACAAAAGAAGGTAAAATGATCCTGTACTTGGAACCCCGCCATACTACAGAGGATCAGCCAGTTAAAAAACCGAGACTACGCTAAGAGCGTACCATGCACTAGGTCAAGGCTTTTTGCTTACAAGGGCTCTACAGGCCTATTCTGACGATCATAATCGGCCTGTGCCCTGTTTCACCTTGCCCAGGCTGATATCACACTCTATCTGGGCCAACCACCACGTAAAAACACTGCACTAAATAGACAGAACCACGCAAAACATCCATGGCTGACCTCCATAGCGCGACGAGTGAATTTTTCCGGGAACAGCAACCACATTCGCGGGAATTTGATTTCGTACTGCGCAAGCGCCAATGAAGTATGGCCAATCAGACTTGACTTGAACTTCTTTGTCTTAAACAAAAGGGGGACATCATTATATCCCCAACAAGTATGTTATCGCTCGGAGCTTCATTCTTTTAGGCTTCTCGCCTTCTGTCCGCAATCTCAATTGCTTCACTTGTTAGTGTTAGCCATTTCGATTTTATCCTTTTCTTTGCCTTGTGCATGTTCGCCATGGCCTCTTCTCTAACGATGATGGCCACAAGGAGTCTTTGACTTCGCCTTCTCTTTTTTTCAGCATGTAATCAATCAGGTTTCTGTGGACTCCATTTTGTGTTGTCCATGTGTACAGTCTTCGCTTCGGTTGTTTTTGAACCAAGTGTTGGTTATTTTATTACCATCTCGTTTGCGTTACATTCTCTCCCCCTCTTCATTCCTTTCACCTAAATCATTATTTCCTGAAATTCTATGAAATACCTCTTCGCTTACTTTTGCATTTCAATCTCCTGTGATGATAAAAACATCCTGACTGATATCAATCTGTCATTTACTGGACAGTCTTGCTGTCATTTACTGGACACTGTTATCAACCCATCACTGTTGCTGCCATCATTGTTACATATAAATGAAACCCCTTTTTTCAATGTTTCGTTTCCGCTGTAGTAGATTTTGTAGTCGTCTAATTGAAAGTGACCTCCGTCTTCCCATTTCATTTCACTCACGGCTGCAAGGTCAATTTCAGTCCGCTTTATTTCACGTTTGATGATTACCAGTTGTCCTTGGGTTCATTTTTCGGACATTCCATGTTCCGATTTTGTGTTTTTTGCTCAAAATAAGTCTACATTCTTTGGAGTTTGTTGTGTCAGACGCCAGGATTCTTTGCGGGTTTGTCCTACCATCGTCATTTCTACCCTGGGTATCTAACTGATGATACCCAGGATTTCTACCAGACCTACTTGATGCATCCTGGAGCTCTTCCCCAGTCACAGAGTGGGCAGTGGCGAAGCTAGCGGTCATGCTGGTCATGCCGAGCATGACTAAAAATTTTCAGAGCTAAAGACATTTATTATAATGATTAAAACTTTTCTTTATTGAAAAAGTACCCTCAAAACTCCATTCGTCCAGTTGATTCTTATTATTTCACTGCCCTTCCCTACCTTGGTCCCTTGTGGTTAGTCATGCTCATTCTGGAGAGCATGACCTGCCATAGGGTTTCTTTCCTCAGAGAGCCCAACCGCTCCTGTGAGTCGGCTGAGTTTCAATGACTTTTCAGTTGGTATCCCTGCGGTAAGTCATGCTCATTTGGAATAGCATGACCTCGTCATTATAATCATAAACCTAGCACTGATTTGATTGCCTGAATTCTATCTTGCGCATGCTATCTTGGCCCGTTTTGGACCCCAAGTCATGCTCATTTTTTTCAGCATGACCGACCTAAATCTCCCATACATGAAGTATCTAAGGTCAACTTGTGAGCTGAGAAACATTGCTGCAAGGGAGTGGGGAAATTCAATCGAAGCTATTTCCGAGAGATATATTGTTTATTAACTGCTACAGGGATCACTTGCGTGTGGCTGAGCAAGGTAATTGTAAACCAAAATTGTGATTGAAAACCAAAGACCGACCCTTATCGATGGAGAATCCTACCATTACGTTGCTGATCATACCATAACTTGTTGCTGATGGACGAACTTGTACCCTGAAACTTGCCTGTGTATTCAGTATTTCACCAAAACCTCTCTTGCTCATGGAATTGTACTCTTGAAAATTTCCTGTTTTGTCAAAATCACACAATAACCTGTTGCTGATGAATGGAATTTTACATGATGGATGGAAATTGCCTGTCCATTCCATCTGGTTTATTCAATATTACAACCTTACTTGTTGCTGAGAGGGACGAAATTGTACTTTGAAAACTTGCCTGTTTATACAATATTTCACCAAGACCTGTTGTTGATAGAAAGAATTGTTTTCTTAAGAATTTCTTGTTTAGTCAATATTACAACATAACTTGTTGTGTATAAAATAAAATTCAAATTGCATCTTGCAATTTGCCTGTTATTTAATATTACACCATAACTTGTTGCTGATAAATGAAATGGTACCCTGAAATTTGCCTGCATTCAATATTACACCAGCTCTTTTTTTGATAAATGAAATTGTACTCTTATATTTCCTTGTTTATTCAATACTACACCATAACTTTTGTTGATAAATGAAATTGTACCCTTAAATTTGCTTGTTTATTCAATATTACTCTATAACTTTTGTTAATACATGTATGTAATTTGCATTGTACCCTATGCAATGCAAATGTATTGTACCCTGTAATTTGCCTGTTATTCAATATTACACCATGACTTGATGCTGATAATGAAATTGCACTTTGGAACTTGCCTGTTATTGGATATTTGACTATAATTTGCTGATGGATAGAATTTAGAAATGATTTTTAATCACACTATATATGTAGCTTCCACACAGCCAACCTTCTCAGTGCAGTTTGATTTCCCCAGGGCTTTCAGTTGCCAGGAAAACTATGGGGTTTCTTAAACATGGAAGACCAAAGTTATAGGAAAGCCCTTGATGTTGGGCTTGGACTTAACTTGTTGATGTTTATGGCATGTTACACCTTAAATACAGGGGTCAAACCTTTTTGTATATGCTAAACAGTACTATCCTTGATACATTTGTTTTAGATATGTAAAAATTAAGCTTATAAAATTGAAGCTAAGTATAAAATTCTGAACCAAGAAACAAGCATCCCACAATTCCCTGTATCATAAACAAGGGAGGGCCTACCTATCACTGAGGGCTTATCTTGCCTAATTCATCTTAATTCAGAAACATCATCAAGTGTCAATAATTAATAGTAAGAGAGTGGATATTTTTTAACCCCTTGCTGATTTATCAAAAGTTTAGATTTTGAAAAATATTTGTAGATATAATACTCTCTCATCTGCAATGTTTTTCCAGTATGATCAGTAGTGTTTGTTGGGGGTTTTCAAATGCACAATTTTTCAAAAACATTGTCCCAAAGATATTTCCAAAACACAACATTGGAGAATGGGGTGGAAAGAACATTTAGATGTTGAAGTCCTTGACATCATTGATTGCGATCTGAACAAGAGCTATTTGATTCAATATACTAAAAAGGGCGTTACCCCCCTTTTCCGAGCATCTATAGGGTGTGGTTGTGTGTAATTTTCCTGGGGGCATAGCCCCCAGACCCCCATCCCCTTTCTGTCCCATACAAAGCATGACCATTGACTTAAGGCCAGCTTCGCCACTGAGAGTGGGTACCGTCAAGTCTGAGGGTCTCGCCGTATGGCACTATAATTGTGGTTTGTGGAGATATAAGCATGACTTTTTTCTTAGCAAGATACGGAAAAGGTTTGCTGTTGCCTTCTTCCGGGCCCAGTATCTTCATTCTTCACTAGACAGTTGATCCCAACCATTATCCTCCTATAGGGAATCATTTGCCTAGCATCAGCGACATCATAGCCCATGCTGTTAACATTTATTTGGTGCCTATTCCATCATCCACCACCTGGTCCAAATGGCTTCACTCTTGACCACAAGCCGGAGTTATTTGACCCATAACTGGGACCCTGACAGGTACTACCACTCCGGGTCAGATAGGGCCTGGGAGCAGTGGCTGATCAAGGGGTAGCTCCATTATTCCTAGAACTCTAGGCCTCCCGGCCCAAAGACTCATCACCGGTTGCAGTTTATAGTAAAACCCGGTATACACATCTATCTATCTAAGTACCATGTCCCTTGTGGACGTAGGCGACCATGGATTTCCACAACTTTCTGTCCTTACAGGTTCTTATCAGACTCTGGACCTTATACCTTCCTTGCTGTTCCTCGGGAACTTGATCTTGCATCCACTTGCTGAGACTTGTCAGGTAGTTCAGCCGAGGTCTTCCCCTTCCTCTCTTTCCTTCTATCTTGCCTGTGATAATAATCTCTTCTAAACCCTCTTTTCTCATGATATGCCCAATGAATTCGGCCTGTCTCTTTCTAATCATTTTATTTAGCTTTCTTTCTTCTCCGGCTCTTTTCAATACTTCTTCATTTGATATATGGTCCACCCATGATATTCTCAACATCCTTCTGAGGAACCACATCTCAACGGCTTCGATCCTGCTATCCATACCGGCTGAAATTGTCCAGCATTCGCTGCCATATGTTAAGATGGAATAAACATAGCAGCGTAGAATCCTTTTCCTAGTTCCCAACGACATTTTTCTATCTTTCAACACTCTCTTTAACTTCTGAAAAGCTTGCTTAGACAGCCCAATTCTGCGCTTGATCTCGGAGTCGCATTTTCCATCGTCTGTTATTAGGCTACCTAGGTAACTGAATGACTTTACTTGCTTTATTTCAGTGTCCTCTATTTTTAGTCTGCATAGCTGGTCAGATTGCTTGCTAATTACCATACATTCTGTCTTTTTACAATTGATGGTTAAACCTTTTTTCTTACTTTCTTCTACTACCTTAGTCAGAAGATTTTGTAGCTTTCCTTCAGATTGGGCTATTAAGACCGTGTCATCGGCCATACCGACGCAAAATATTACAACATGCCATTTCTTTTTGTATCGTTTTGCATGGTTTCTACTAAGACTCTATGGAGTCATGCAGAACCTCTACAAAAATGGGACAGCTAGTTATACTTGAAATTTCTAAGGAAGCCTATAGAGTGGGTTTCAGCACCTCCGGTACCTTTGGCACCATATTTTCTGTAAAGTGATGTCAAATTCACAACTGGAAAACTAATATCTACTCAAATGTCTAAGGTAGCCAATGACAGTGGGTTTCGGTATCAATGCTACCTTTGGTACCACATTTTATGTAAGTGATGTTCTGTATCTATTACAAGAATACGTTAAGTGTTTCTCTAATTTTATGCAAATGAGAAAATTCTCTAGAAGTTCCACATGACTCATAACAGTTATTTATATATAGCGTTATAACAGTATGGACGCTACCAATGCGTGATAGAAAATGTAAGTAAGGTTTCTACGGAATGAAGTAACGAAATCAGACGCACTCCTACGCGAAATATACTCGCAATCTTGTGACAGTCGCTAGGAAGGGGAATCCTAGGGGAAAAAGGGATTGGAGGCTCCCCATAGCATTGTTCTTGTCTTTCCAAGGATTACACTCATACTACATTTTCATTAGCCTCCAATTATCAAGTGTCATAATTTTAATCTTTTCGAAGGTTTCCCCTAGCTCATCTAGTTATTCAGTCCCCATATAAAATCATGTAAACAAATTTCTTTGTACACCTCATTCAAATCTTCTCGACGGTTATCCCCAAGGTCTTCTGTTTTTTCCCTGAACCCCAGACGAATCTCTGGAAATGAACTTCTGTTAGGCCTAGTTTGTTCAATTCCTTTTTCTAAAATACCGAGGAAAAATTTTTCGCTTTTTCTTTGCAGAAGTCGGCTTCAAGTATAGTTTTGAACAGAGTCAGGAATACATCACGGCCCCACGGCCACTGATCGGATAAAGTTTGTAGAATATTAAAGAATTGAGGAAGTTTAGAAACTTGAGGCAGTTGAAGAAATTTTGTTTTCAATATGAATGTGTTTGCAGAACTGCTTTGTACTGTAAAAAATTCAGGCATAAACTGTTTATAATCTATTTATTTAAATTATGACACGCTTTTGTTACTAAATGATCTGTCTAAAAATATCTATAGTTAAGAACAAATCATGACTCAGCGGATTTTGGCACTTTGGGAATGCCCAATCCATTTTATCATGATTCAATTCCTTGAAAAATTCTTAAAATGTTGTGGAAAAACAGAGTTGCAAGGAGAGGAGAGGAGTTGAGTGACAACGCCCATTTTAAACCTATTAAAAACGAGGAAGGTTTCGTAGCACGATTTTCTTGGCCGCAAGAAGGTTGCCATTTTTCTGGACTCTGGTTTTAAACTGCAGCGCATTCTTGTCTTGTTATTAAGTTGTGATAAACATTTTTGCATCACAAGAACGGATTTGCCAACAGGTGCTCGATAGAGGGTTGACGCCACTATAGTATCATTCGATTGCTTTTATTATTGTAGAATTTGTCACACCTAGCTAACAGATGACGTAGCTTTCTGTAAAAAAACTCCATGTTATATAGATCTAGCGATATTTGCTATAATACTTTGGTAAAAGCTGTTATGATTTACATCATAATACGAATAAACTCAGAGTTATTTTTTGAGGATGTTTCATGTTGTCCAGAGAGGACTTAAAAGAAAAACTCAGTTTCCTAATGGAACAAAGAAAAACAATGAATTACCTTGATACTCAACGTAATGACTGAATGGTTTTAATCACTATCAACATTTACAAAAATATTTCTAAACATCAAATGTCAAATAAAGACGCCTCTTTGCAGATTAATCAAAATAAAACCAATTTGGTTGTAAAGCTGTAAGCTTGGTGGCAGATTTGGGGCAGATCGAGTTCCTCGATACGATCGATAATGCGGACTTAGTAAATCATGTGGACTTGCAGTTGGTAACTTTCACTTTGTCAGAATTTAAAAGTATATATACTTTTCTAGATAGAAGAGGTCCATCTTATTGTTCTTCTTGAATTGCAGACAAAGCAGGCTATTCACATCGGAGCCAAAAAGTGCCTGCGGACAGGTGCATGCTGATATAAATGAAGTATGAATACTGAATTTACATGATGCCTCGCTTTCTCCCTGAACAGGCAACACAGAAACGTCACAAGTATTTACAAAATATCTGTATGCACCACCCGATATCAACTAGAATGCGCGAAGGAATATCCCACATTTACAGATTTCGCTAACGAAAAGTTCTAAATTAATAAAAAGCTAGCCAATTCAACATAGAAGTATTTAACAAAAATCATAAGAACGGCCGCACGAAAAATTATACATCTTGACTGTCGCTACAGTTCGTGCTGTCAGGGTCGTTCTTCGCCCTTCGCTCAGGGTCTTCTGATTTCTTTTGTATGGTGCCATTTCTACTGCCGTACTTATTCCTCAGCTGCGTCAGAGCAGCAACAAGCCTTCGATTAGCAGTGTCCAGTGACTTAATCCTCTTTTCCTGCACTTCAATTATATGCTGCTTTGCCTCTATGACCTCTTGCATTTCAGCCTGTTCTTTTCTTAGTTCACCTTCGACGTTCATCAGCCTTGATATGATGCTTTTCATTTGCTCGTCCTTCTCCTTTTTCTGCTTACGCAGCCTAGCTTCGGTGTCTGCTAGCTTCTTTTTATGTGCAGCCATTCTCTGCTCGTAACTGTTCGCAAACTTGGCAAGCTCTTCTCCTTTTAAACGCAGTTTGACCTGGCACTCGAGCAGCTGACGTCTCAAAGAGGCATTCTCAATCTCATACTAAAATAAAGCGATTCAAAGATATAAAGGTTTCCATTCAATAATGTTCACTTTTGGGTAGAGAGATTCTACCATGTGATCTATAAGAGGTTTTCATTGAAGTTATAAGCGATTATGACCAGTTTGATATTCAAATTTCAGGTATAGTTACAAACAATTTTGAAAATATCTAAATGATTTAGTCGTTCATAAATCCACCCAGTCTTGCAAAACAACCAGAAAAAGGATATGCAAAAACAGATGCCAACAACAGAACAGAGCACATCTTAATAAAGAACTTATGCCTGCAAACCTATGCCTGCTGTTGACCAAAGAAATAACTTGCGTAGACTTTATTTGGTAGTTGAATACACCCGATATGGGCAACGTTAACTCCTGAATTACTACAAAATATACAAAAGGTACAGGAGACTTGGAATTCAGATTTGTTCTGAACCTTGCTCTCACAATTTTTAGCTAACGTATTGTAAGAAATATTTTTCTTCACTTTCTTTTAAGTTGGTAACAGACAATTCGAGCTAAACTAGAGTTTATTATTTAACAAATACCCAATTCAGCAACAGATTTTAACAACATTTTAACAACTACTGCAAAATTTGGCTTCAATCATCCCACCAGATTAGGCAAGTTAATCTCTATGCCTTCTTCCTTATTTTCAATGGGCCTGTTGCCTCGAAAAAACAGCCCTTCCCTCCGCAAAAAGACCCTTCCAAATTCATCTTGATTGATAAAAAAGTCTAAGGAAAATGCTGCACTTAAGTTATAACGTTTTTTCATACGTAAGTTCAAAATGAGTTAAATTTGTTTTATATTTTGTAGTTTGCCATTCAAAAGGTTTGCTTGTCTAGCATCCATTGTCATAGCTTGAAACTGGAACACTGATGCCAACTTCAAGCTTACGTTTCCCTATTAAACTTGCAAAAAATTGTTTTGATGACAAACAAACTGGGTGAAATAACGAAAAACTTATATTAGAAAATGACCACTCTCGAAAAAGCGCTCTCTCAAAAAGCTGAAAGGCATTCAAAATTATAAAGCGCCCTGGAAATGTAGAATACAAAAAATCAGTAATAACTTTAAAATAAATATAATGTCTCAAAGGGGGCCTTCCAAAATCGCTTTTTTACTTTGGGAATTCCATAAATCATGCGTCAAATACAAAAAATCTTCACCTGGTATTTTTTCTAATGTCAGAAACTAATGTCACTTTAGCCATTCTACAAATGGCCAATCAGTGGGCGTGATACCGTCCAAGCACTTATTGGTTGGGTAATGTTGATTGACATGTGGCTTAGGCCACATTAGTAAGAGCCCCTCTTCCACGATATATGTATTTAGATAAATTAATTTTTTATGATGATGATGATGATGATGATGATGGTGATGGTGACTATAATGATGATGATGATGATGGTGATTATAATGATGATGATGATGATGATGATGGTGATGATGATGGTGACTATAATGATGATGATGATGATGGTGATTATAATGATGATGATGATGATCATGATCTGATGATGATGATGATGATGATGATGATGATGATGATGATGATGATGGTGATGATGATGGTGATGTGATTATAATGATGATGATGATGATGGTGATTATAATGATGATGATGATGATCATGATCATGATGATGATGATGATGATGATGATGGTGATGGTGACTATAATGATGATGATGATGATGATGGTGATTATAATGATGATGATGATGATGATGATGGTGATGATGATGGTGATTATAATGATGATGATGATGATGATGATGGTGATGATGATGGTGATTATAATGATGATGATGATGATGATGATGGTGATGATGATGGTGATGATAATGATGATGATGTGATTATACGAGGGTCACTCCGAAATTATTGAGATTTTCAAAATTCGCGCCAAATCCAACGTTATAAAACAGGTTTCCTTAAACTTACACATTTATAAGCGTTGTTTGCAAATTTTTGTCCATTTCCACTCAAAGATATCTTTTTAACAAACTTTTAAAAGAGGGGACTCTCGCTGTAAATTTCATTTTCGAAATGGAGCTTGAAAGACGCGATTTTCGCGCAATGATATATTACGATTTTAAAAAGGGATTAAAACAAGAGGAGTGTCTACAAGAACTAGTTGCAACTTTTGAAGATCGTGCACCATCAAGGGCAACTGTTTTTCGATGGTTTGCAGAATTTAAACAAGGGAGGGAGAGTCTGAAAGATGACCCCCACCCAGGAAGACCACCAACGGCTGTGGTCCCAGAAACTATAGCTGCTGTAGAAAAGCTACTCAAAGAAGATGGCCGATTGACCTATGAAGTGATGCAGGAAAAAGTTGGCATTGGATCGACAGCATTAAATAAAATTTTGCACGATCATCTTGAAGTAAGAAAGGTTGCAGCTCGCTGGGTACCTCATTGCTTAACAGAGGCACAGAAAGAGCATCGGGTAAACTGGTGCCAATTTATGCTTGAAAAGTTTGATAGTGGAAGGTCCAAACGTGTGTATGACATCGTCACAGGTGATGAAAGTTGGATTTACCAATTTGACCCAGAAACGAAACGCCAGTCGTCAGTCTGGATCTTTCCGGGGGAGCACCCACCACAAAAATTCAAGCGCTCCAGAAGCGTCGGCAAAAAGATGGTCGCTTCTTTTTTTGGAAAAACGGGCCACGTGGCAACGATTCCTCTTGATGATCGCCGCACAGTTAACACGGATTGGTATGTAAACCAGTGCATACCGAAAGTGCTAGATGCATGGCGAGAAAAACGTCCGAAAACTGGTTTGCGCGGGATCCTATGGCACCATGACAACGCATCAGCTCACACTGCAGCATTGACAGTTGACTTTCTGCACGAAAATTCCATTCAGTTAGTCACCCACCCACCATATTCACCCGACTTGGCACCTTGTGACTTTTTCCTTTTCCCTACCATCAAAGAAAAACTGCGTGGAACGAAATTTGATAGTCCGGATGAAGCCGTAGACGCGTTTAAAGAGGCGATTTCGGACCTTCCTGGTGACAAATGGACAAATTGTTTTTCTATTTGGTTTAATAGAATGAAACTTTGCGTAGAGGCTAATGGAGAGTATTTTGAAAAGCTTTAAAAATTTGAGCCTATTCTCATAAGCCGTTTTTGAAAATCTCAATAATTTCGGAGTGACCCTCGTAATGATGATGATGATGATGATGGTGGTGATGGTGACTATAATGATGATGATGATGATGGTGATTATAATGATGATGATGATGATGATGATGGTGATGATGATGGTGATTATAATGATGATGATGATGATGGTGATTATAATGATGATGATGGTGATGATGATGATGATGATGATGATGGTGATGATGATGGTGATTATAATGATGATGATGATGATGATGATGGTGATGGTGATTATAATGATGATGATGATGATGATGATGGTGATTATAATGATGATGATGATGATG